CGCTGGCAGTGAGCCGCTGCCATTCTCGGGTGGTGTCCCTCGAGTTGCGAGGACCTGTGTGTGGAGCCCTGCGAGGGCTTTCTGCTTGGGTGGCTCTTGCAGAGCTGGGAGTAAGCTAGCCACGGCCATGGGTGAGGTCTGCGGAAGCTGTCTGTCTGAGGTTGTCCGGCCCCACGGGTTCAGCTGACTTCACTCTCTTGTCCTGGCTCTGAAGGGTCTGGCCTCCCTGCCTGAGGTCCGGCTCCACCTCCCAGAGCCAACCCTCCTCTGGGCAAGCCATGGGGCTGCACCTGCCATCAGGCGGGAGCAGCCGTGCAGGCAGGAGAGTCACAGCTGGCTGGCCTCTGACCCTGCCCTGAGTCTCCCTCTCGCTCGTGCGTGTCTCAGCTCATGAAACCGACTTTGCCTATTGGACTTGGGAATTCCACGCCTTTCTCTAGTGTCATTTGGAACTTTGAAATAGTTGAATGGTACTTTTTGTAACTCTGAATCCTACAAAAGGCAAATATATTTTGGCTAAAGAATTTCCAATACAGAGCTAGCCCCGTAGCCTTGTAGTGAAGAGCTGGATCAGCCCTACATGGCTGACCACGTTGTTTATAGTCCCAGCCCTGGGGACTTGAAAGCCATGCCAGTGCATGTGCATGTGTGCCCCAAAGCCCAACAGGATGGAGAAGTGGAGAAGGGACCAAGGTGTGACCACGCCCCATGGGTGCTTTCTCCTCTGTGCTCTCTCTAGCTTTCTCTGACAAACGTATGCACTCTCTGGCTAAGTAAGTCAAATATAGCCAGACAGTGAGATGTATCGCAACCTTCTCCACCCACCTAAGGAAGTTTCCCTTCCTCTGCAGAGGTCATGTGGTTTTCTGAGCCCTGCCGTGGGGCCCTGGGCTGTTGGCACAGCCATGCTTTCACTGGGAAGCAGAAGTGAGGGAGCAGGAGGGGGCCGTGTGAGTGTCCTCGTCACCTGCCGCCAGGAGGCCAGCTGTGAGTCTTCTGGGGTCCACCGAGTCGGGCTCCCATGGACCGGGTTTTCTCCGTTGCCAGCTGCTGCAGGGAGCCTCGCCCACCAGGTCTTTCCACGTGGAAGTACTTTGTGCGACGGATCTCTAGAAAGGGAATTGGGATGTCGTTTTAGAAAATGCTTTTCCAAACCGTGCCCCTAAATAGACCCAGTTGTATTCTGATCTTTACTGTCGTTTTTTTAGAGCGTTTTGTGACTTACACAAGATATACAGAAAGATAGCGTTGTCCTGCCGCGCAGTCAGGGTTATAGGGAGTGTCCGACAGGGCTGAGCTTCGCCAGGGCTAGGAGACGGCCAGTGTGGTGAGCGCTGACATGAGGCGAGGAGTCCCAGGTTTGCCTACAGGGCTCTGGGCCGTCGGTGCGTTTCCGGGCCCCGCAGTGGAGAGGTGAGGAGTTGGCCCTCCCCAGGAAGTCTCGATAGACCAGTAGTATGTGCCTCATAGGAAGCAAGGGAAGGACAGTAACTTTCAGGAGCGATTTAAAACATTCTTCATTGTTCCAGCAGGCGGCTGGTGGTTAAGGTGCTGGACTCCCATGTGGACGACCAGTGGCTGGCTTTCTCACTCCCTTCCCTTTCTGTCTCTGTGTCTCTCTCTCTCTGGTGAGTGCATATTACAGCAAATTAAAAGATAATGAAAATCAAATTAAAAGTAAATCGTAAAATAATTCCTCATTAAGTAGAGGGGAGAAAGATGATTGCACTTTTTTTTTTTTTTTTTTTTAGAGAGAGAGATTGTTTTTTGCTATAGGGCCTGTGCGCTCACTAGAGAGACAGAGACAGGCAGAAAGTGAAAAATCACTCCCGGAGGGGATGGCCACACTGCAATCCCTTCTCCTCCATTCTTTCGGGATCTTGGGTACACACACACGTGTGCCCAGCATGAGTTTTAAACTGCCGGGCCTGGGACTTGAACCGCAGTGGACTGTGTCCAGCAACATGACCATTACGCCATCTGCTGGTCCCTGACTGCATTTCTCTCCCTCAGGTCTCTTCAAGAGCCGAGGCTCCCGCCAGCAGTGGCAGTAACAGCCTGGAGGACGCACTGCGCACGTCAGCACATTCCGCGGAGGAGGCGCCGCCCAAGAGGCCTGCCGGCAAACACGGCAGAGGTGAGTGGAGCCCGGGCCCCAGGGATGCCCAGCGGGAGGGCGAGGGCAGGAGGCACAGGCGCCTGCGGTGCTGGCACCTCGCAGTGTTGGGTCAGGGCTTCCAGGCCATTCATCCTGCTGGTCTGAAGGGCTGCTATTCTTCTAGATTCTACAGATGATACACAAATATGGTGTTGGCTGTAAAGTCTCAAATATCGCTGTTTATTAAGGGAAAAATGAAAGTTACTGCACTCATCCCCCCATCCCACATTCAAGGAAGTCCCGGCGATGGTGGATGGCCTCTGCACCGACACGATCACCCCCAGCCACGCGTGCCTTTCAGAGCGCTCCACTCCGTGTGGCTAGTGTGACTGAGAGCCTGAGTTTTTCCTTTTCAATTGGCATGGAGGCTGTGTGCTCACCAGAGAGAGGGAGAAAACACCCCCAATGGGACACGTCCCCGCACACACGGTCCCGTCTCCATTTCTCCGTCCTTTTGGGACTCTGAGCATACACACACACGTGCCCAGCATGTTTGTCAAGCCATGGGGGCTGGGATTTGAACTGCAGTTGGCCAGGCAGTAATTCATTCTCCTCCATTGTCCTTCCAGGATCTTTTGAACCCGTGGGCTGGCCCAGATTATTTCCATTTCTTTGAAATGTGGTGATTCAGTGTGGACGGTACAACCCTGGAGTGAGCAGTGCCTGACCAGGCTGCCGGGGTGGTAGGGTGTTCCCAAGAAGGCCCCGAGTTGCTGTGGCTGTGCCGGTCTGACTGCAGCCTTCTGCGTAACTGCAAGGTCGAAGTTAGCTCACCGTCAGTCAGCCGTGTGGTTTAAGGGCATGAGGGCATAGATAAACATTCCAGGTTACAGAAATACTGCAGAGTTCACAGTGTCACTGGGGGCAGGCGAGGCCAGCGCTTCCCAGATGGGATGGACAGCGGCTGGCTGCGTCCACACTCCCTGGTCTTTGCTCTCCTCATTTGTCACTTAGAGACGTGTTTATCTGCTCTTCCAGAACCCAGGCTGGGCGGTCAGGAGTCACACCTGCCCCTTCACCCTGTCTGTCCCCTCGTGCCTCACGTAGCACGCTCACCACCACATGGGCACTCACACACCCCTCCGTGGTGAAGGAGCCCTGTCCCAACACTGGGGCTTGGCCCCGACCTGGACCACTGCCGGGAGTGTCGGTCCTGAGCAGCCTCAGCTAGAGGTTGGGGGGCTGGTGCTGCCGCGGA